CTGACACAGCAATCAATTTGCCATCAAGTCAATTAGGGGGGAAAGTTTTATGAAGCATATAAGTGAAACAGAAAACAAGAAGGGCTTTGATCATACATTAATAGAGACATATAATTAGAAAAGCACATCTTAAGCAAGACATTTTAAATGCATTGCTCTTTACTTCAGGTTTCATCTTCTCTGCAACTTTATCCCTGACTTGTCTTCTGTGGTCCTCCCATGTTTTTCAATGTTGTCTAACAAACATCATGCCTTCTACTACAAAAAGGCACTAACTACTTATAGGTAACCTTGAGGGAAGCTAGATGCAAATTATTTTATTTAGCAACATTAAAATAAAGGGGGGAGAAATGTCTATGTAATATTTTAATTCATGAAACATTTTAAAAACCTATGTTTCATTTTACTTCCAGTTCACAGCAATGCTCTACTACTTTGTGTTGGTCTCTCAAATAAAATCCCTACAAAACACAGAGGAGCTTGTGCTTGTAAAGTGAGAAAATGCGGAAGAAGTTTGAGTGTCGGGTTACCTTTCAAGGCACTGTATAATGGGCAGGAATTTTGAAAGATAGGTCATCATAATTAAAATCTAGGTGAGTCAAACTAGACCTAATTAGTTACAAACAGCCTCTGTGTGTCCTGGCTCGGCTGCCTTCAAACACAGAACATGGCCTTTCTCCGCCGGCTTCTGATGTGCTCAGTACAGGGAGAATGGCAAACACGGCGTTTGATTAAACGCTGCCACTTCCCCCCACGATCAAAAATGCAGTCCCTTTTGATATTGGATTTTTTTTTCTTCCTCTTTAGCATTACAGTGCAAGAAGAGATACAGGACAATGTAAGGACAAATGTAAACAGATGAAAAAGGAAGCTTTGAGGCTGTTGAGCTTTTCATGTGTCCTCTAGGAGTTCAGCTCTACTAGGCGCAGTCACTTTCTCCTGCTAAATTCTCAGACTTGCATTAGGAAAATTGCTGTGAAAATTGAATAAAATGACAGAACACAATATAACTAAAACGAGCCACACTGGAATCTTGTAATGACGTAAATTGGATGCAAAACTAACCTCAGAGACCTGTTCAAGCCTTGCGAGTACAAAGCTAACAGCTAAGGCATAAGGCAGAGCATTCAGAGAAAACATCAAGGCTAAAGTTGTGCTCCTTTTTTCTCAGAAATACATTCTGATTTACAGTCAAACTGAATGAAGTATTCCTTTGTTCAGCCTTATTCTCTCCACTTTATTTTTCTTGATAGTTTCTGATTAGCTTGCTAAGACAGACAAACACATAAATTTTACATGGATCATTTTACATGCCTATAGGAATCCTTTGTGTTATCTTGTGCCTTATGTAAGAATTTCTCATAGCTTCCACGCTCTTAACATCTGTCAGGCATATTTGTACAGCAGTTGTGCTCCTTGTTACTGTATATGTGAGCATATCCCTGGTGACATCATCATGTGAATCTGTGCTTTGGTTGCAATGTAAACCATTTAAGCTAAACAGTGAAGTGAGTTCATGGCTCCTTCTATGATATCCTAATATATGTCAGAATATAGTCAAGTTACAAGAGGATGTGTTACATTCGCAGTGGATAAAGTCCTTTTCAATGTTGGTGAATCACCAAGTAGAGAAGGGTTTTTTTTTTTTGCTTGATATCAGACAAAACTACTTGTTCATTTCATGCTGCTTCTGCAGTGCCCTACACACTTGTCGCTAACTCTAATTATACAGTTCGAAGTGATACATCCAGGCAGTTTTGAGTTTATGCATCATTGAAAATATATATTCTCTCTGTGGTTATAACTAAATCTGTAAAAAGAAACAACATGCTTTCAGACTCTTAAAATCGTGTCAATGTTCTTGTTATTCCTGAGCCATCATTTTATCCAGGTGTGTTACACCAGGAAGAGAACTAAAACATGCAGGATGCCGCCCCTCGAGGACTGACTTTGGACACCACTGTTTTAGGCTAAAGTCGGGTGTTTGCTGTTTAAAAGCTAGATATTAGTCTTGTCTGATCAAAAGAAGTAGTTTTATTGAAAATGTTACTGTCACATTTAGTAAATTTAGCATGTTTATTTTTGTGAATTTAGAGTAGGGAAGGCAATTTTTAAACTTTTAGCATGAGAATTTGACAGACCTTTTAAAGTCTATTTTTCCCCTAGAAGGAGAGTTAGACATGAACAATATTCTTCCTGTATGCTATTTGAATTGATCTGGTAATGTAAAAGAAAAAACAAGTCCAAGCTGCATACTGAAGTTCCCAAAGTTTCAGCATATCCTCATCATTACATGAACTCTTTAACTTGGTACCAGAAAACAAAACAAAAAAAAAAGGGCAATCAGGAAGTCTTCTGGCAGGTTAATGAAGCATATGGTCAAAAACAACACAGAAATGACTCCCTAGACACTGAAATCAACCTTATAAAATCCCCAGACCTCAGTCCTACAGAGGAGCTAAAGAGACTAGAGCAAGGGTTCTCAAATTCAGGCCTCGACGACCGGTGTCCTGCAACTTTTAGATGAGTTCCTGATCCAACAAACCTAAATCTAATGGCTGGATCACATCTTCAGTATGCAGTCGAGTTCTCCAGAGTCCTGCTAATTGCCTCATTATTTGACGCGGGTGTATCGAAGCAAATACACATCCAAAATTTGCAGGACTGGAGTTGAAGAACCCTGGAATAAAGGAAGAGAAGATTCAGGAATCCAGTTGATATACAGGGAAATACATCAATGACTTTGTAATAATAATAGTTTATGATTCATATTTTCCTTACTAAATATAGGTTGGATTTTCTTGACATTGTCAGTGTGATTTCATGCCACTGCAATAAAAGTTTATTTTTTCTTAGTCTTTCTACTTATTTACCATATCTTTCAGTCTTCCACATAATTGAGCTCCCTCCCCTTTCCCCCCCAAACCAGTCAGTAGAGAACATCTTCATTCATTATTTATTCATAAAACAATCCACATATTATTTTGGGTGAGTTTCAGGAGTGATTTTTTACATTAATTTAACTGAACGAGATAGGCTGATTTAATTTGGATACGTCTTATAAATCTCAAACACGCAATCTTTAGCTGCAGTGGTTAAACTAGACTCCATCTATCTATCAAAAATAAAAAAATAAAAACCTTTACAGCAAGCTGAAATCTCTGGCAATTGCCATATGCCTTATTTATTATTTGTCAAGCATTACATCTATACTGGCAAGTAGCTAACATGGGGAGTCTTAGCTCTCTGTGTGAATACAAACAGCTCCCCACATGACAGTGTGAAACCTCCCTATGTATACCCCACTTTAATTGGATCAACATAATAGAATACAACAGTGTGAAAAGGGTCTGTGTCATGCTTTATATCAGTCTTGCCTTGTAATGTGAATATGGACTAGTATTATGAAAGTTCACTCTGTGGGAGCTAGGGGTCTGTGTTTTCGTAAGGTTGGATGAATCTGACGAGGCCGAGGTGCAACTCTGAATCCCATCAATACTAAGGTCATATTTTTTTTGATATCTCAGTTGGAATGAAACATTCGATGAAGAATGCAGAAAACTTCATTATGGCAGGCTGTTCAAAATGCTGTTATCTGATGTCAAAGTAAATCTTCACAAAGCAGCCGAAACACCTACAGACAGGGCCACAGTGACCGTTCAATGAAGATTTATTTTATAAGACTCAATTACTCTCAAATACTATGAAAATATATAGCAGAATACATGTAAATAGTTGAATCTGTATCCCACTCTGTATTGTTTCAAAGAAATAAGAACAGTTTCATCATCAGCACTGATCTCAGATCAGATCAGCCTTTTACATGAGGTAGAGTAAGACAGCGAGGGGCAAGTCCAGATCACTACTCTAGCAGAGATGAGGCATCTCAGTGGGGATGGTTTCCTGGGTACCCATCTGTCAAAAATGTCCAGTTCTAATGATGACTACCTGGTCTGTACAGCTCATTGTAAACCCGGGGCTTTGTGCCAAACTCTTTGCCTGCTCCAGGATTTCAGGTCTCGGTGACATTAACAGTTTTAGTCACATCTTGGCAGCTTTGCTCATGCTGAGGCTCTCTCTGAGCAGGAAGTTTGGGGTTCGCCTGGTGTTAAATTAACACAGTCTGTCATCTCAGCTGGGCCCAGAGCTGAAATCAGATCTTGCACACTGTACTGTACCTCTCTGCCTAATGTTGATGGATTGCATTGCTTCGCAACCACTGAAGACTTGCAAACCAATCACGAATCCCGCGACTAATATTGAAGTTCATGAATGAGATGTCACACCTGGACATGATTCGTTTTGTGCGGAGTATAAAACCACTGTCACTATTTTAGAGCTACTTCTATAAAGCTGGAGGTAAGTTCAGTTTCTTTTTTTTTTAAATAGCTCTTGTTGTCACAGCGCTCCCCATCCAAATTACCTCCAGTTTCATCACCTTGTAGAAGTCGAAGCATTTCCCATCAACAGTGTCAGTCGCACACACACTACCGCTCGATCTTTTAGCTTTCTCAGCACTGTAACGCTTGTTTCCCATCTTGCCCTTGACAGAGGAGCTTGTCACCCTCACACAGTAATTATACCAGAGCTGACATCTCCTCTTTCCATTGAATTATTGAGAAGGTGGAGAGGACACAAGATCCTATGTAGGGAGACACATTTCTGTGGCCTTAGGGTGAAAATCCAAAATGGACACTGTTTTGTGCAGAAAGAAACGACCTGCACGTGATACTGCTGAACCTTTGGCTTGCAGGCAGTTTTGGTGACCTGACAAGGCTTGAGTTGTGAATTAACATTTTATTATTAAACAGATTTATTTCTGAGTTGTTTATTTGCTGTGATGCTTTCCAATCTGCAAGTTTTTATGGGCTCTTTGCACGTACGCCGCTGACGTCACATCCGCATGAGCTTGCTTCCGTTTTGAGTTACCATGACAGCTAGAAAAGACAAAGTCGTATTTCAGAAGCAAATAAAGCAATACTATGAACATTGTGGTTTTTCAAATATAATGGGCTTTTTAAGTTTGCATGGATTTCCAAGCAATCCTGAATTAAGAAGACGGTGGTTTGTAAATATTCGTCGCTACAAGTTAAAGCTAACGCCGCACAGCAAAGTTTGCAGCCTTCACTTCACTCCGGATCAGCTTATTCTGCCTAAAACTACCGAGAAGGATGGTAAATAAAGGAGCCGTCCTGTGTTATTTCCATGAAATCACTTCTGTATTCAGCCTAAAAGAGCGAGTGTATGGGAACAAGTGAGCAGACCAGAGCCAGACAGCCGACCAAAGATACGCCTGTACACACTGATGTAAACACCGTCCTATTTGAGCTCTTCACAAGAAACATGCAAAAGTAATAAAACGAAAGAACACAGAGACCTTAAAGAACACGGCCATATTTTTCTAAAAGCAACAACTTTGAACCTGAACAGTCAGCTGAACTAAAACTCTGACACCAGTACTGCCCTACTTTTAAGCTACGGGGCTTGTTGTGCTTCCGAAGCAGAAATCCCGAACCGTCATCACCCCGTTACTTAAGCTCCGTTTGACACTGACGACAATAAACACACATAATACTTGAAAATAAGTACAAAATAAGGTAAAACATTGTCCGTGGACAATGGATTAAAATGTTTAGGTACTTAAATAGCACATTTTTATAATGAAAATGTCAGAGAATATTCCCTACTAGCATAAGCTAAAGTTAATGTTAGCCACAGAGTTTAAAGAAAGTAAAACTCACCTTCGTATCTGTGAATGTATAACGAGGCGTATATATTTTCTCCAGTTTACTTGTTGGAGCTTCGAATCGTGGTACATCATTAATTGATGCATTGGGGGAGTCTTGCAAGAGTGTAAAATGGCATTTTCAATAGAGCGGAAGTGACCGAGCCGCTTATTCACGAACATGGAAGCTGTTGTGCAAAGAGCCCATTATGTCATAGTATGTATGTATAACATTGCTGCATAAAACTGTCATTTTTTATCAAATTTTTTGAAAACTTAAAATTAATACATCTAAACACTTGATATTTATTTAATTTACCCTTATTTAACCAGGTGAGTTATTAAGAACAAATTCATACTTGCAATAACAACCTGGCAGGGATGATATGTCACTGTGTGCAATGAATCTACCTGGATACAGTTTGTGAACTAAATTTCTGAACTTTAATGCAAAGATGAAGGCCTTTTTGTTTTGTAATTTTTTTTAAAAAAAAAAAAAAAAAAAAAAAAAAACACAAGGTAATTTTGAGTCTACAGAATGTGGCCTCTTGGAAAGCAGTGGATTTGTCCTTTTGGTAACCTGCAGAGGCTTGCATGCCAGACCTGTGGGAAAGAATGAAGACAAAAATAATTCTGGGCTGAATGAAACCCTCCTGCAAAGAAAATTGTTTAATAATTAAATGTACTTCATGAAAGGCATTTCATTACTCACGGTTTGCAGCAGAAAACCTTTTACCTTGTTCCTGCTCCCAGCCAACCTCTGGACTGCTTAGTTACCATGGCATCATGGGGGTTATAATTCAAACACCACTGTCCTTCATCCTTCCTCTTCTCTGCATGCAAGTTATTATTCGATTTCAGATTCAGAGTGAAGGCTCTACCTTTTTACGATGTTGGCTGAAAGGTGACTGCTTTCCTGAATCAACAAGTGGCTCCATGTTTTACAGGGGTGGAATAGTTCGAGAAACTAAATTTAATGACAAATTATTATTCCTGAGCCCCAAACCAAATTTGGCATAGTAAAAGGAATGTAATTAAAATTCCCCAAAAACTCAATCTGAGGCCATGTATTATGTTAAATCATGCTTCTTTTTTTTTTCAGTACTTCTTACATAATCTAGCAAATAATCTTACATAATCTGTTAAGGACTGTGCTCAAGGGTTTGGTGTATTTTGTTTAGCAGAAGACTTTTTTTTTTTTTTTTACACACGGAGCCACACACGCACGCACACACAATCTTTCCTTCTCTGCTTTTCACTCCGAGCTGTCTTCCACTCAGGAAATTATTAGAGAGAGAAGAGGTGACATGTAGGAGAAACACAGGATAGGTGGCCTCAGTTCAGTGCCTCCATCTCCAACCCCGACAGAGCAGTGAATGGTCCTCACTCACAGCTGTCCTGGACTCAGTCAGCCAAGCACACCCTGGTTCTGCAAAACAACACAATGTGCTAGGATGCTAAGATGCATCCCACAATGTAATTTTCTTCCAGGACTCAGCAGAAGTTGCAGGGGCTATTTAAATGCAAAACAACACGACCTGTTGCTGTGACTCAATGCCGCAACCTGGTCACTACCTGGCTGGATCAGCAACACAAGAGAGCTGAAAACCAGAATCCCTCAGTGCTTTCAAACAGAATACACGGGATAGCTTCATCGGCTTGTCTGGAGTTTGACTTTGAATATGTCGTTGGTGGAATTTCAGTTTCACATAAGGAACGGGACTTTAACTAAAAATAAGGAACGTTAATAATTTACATGAAAATGTCACTAGATCTAAGGTAGAAGTGTTGCTGAGTACCAGGGTGAAATGATTTTTAAAATATACATATAAGGAAAGATTTCTGCCCCAGCAAATGGATAGTAATCACTGAGGTCATAATAAAACATCTAATCAAATCACAGATAACTAGAGGAATTTCTTTCACATATATATTACACCACAACACAAATAAAATGAACATATTTTTTAAATGATCACAAGTTTGGATAACTATTTGTCAGACAAAGATACATTTCTCTAAATCACATTTTGAGTCGGATGGTAAAAACCTCATTCCAGCCGTGCATGTTGTCATATTCAGTAAGTTAGAATATTATTGAAAAGTGAATTTTCAATAATGTTCTATAAAAGAAAATGGGACATTTAATGTTATAATATTACACAGAACATTTTTAATTCTGAAATGTGGACTTCACGAAAATTATGTACCCTACCTGATCAAAGTACATTAAAAAAAGCCATTTTAATATGATGCAGGAGCCTCATGCATATTCTGATTTATGCAACATGCGTTATGCATCCAGGTGTTGGAGCTACAATGAAATTAACTTTTCTCTTGACTTTTTAAAAATGCTAATTTGCTGTTCAGTATCCAAACCTTGGAGAATTAGTTTGGTCTTTAGATAAAATAGGTTGGGTCAGTTAATCATAAATTAAAAGCACTGATCAATCAAAGAAATGTGCCATCATATAAGCTTGCACCAAAGTCCAAGCTTTTATAAGCTTTTTTAAGCTTGCACTTTGGTGCTTTAAAAATGTGCATGTGTCAAAAAAGTCAAAAACGACCAGATTGGCTTGTATTGTTTGTGTTTAGTTGGGATGTGCATCGCAGGTCTGTGGCCAATATTTGATCGATTCGATATTTGAATAGAAAAAACCAGTAAGGCGCATTAGGATTCATACCACTAACTCAATGCAGTAGAATTGACTGATTTGATGCAATTTGGTTTGATTCACGGGAACAAGAGAAACCAAACACTTGGTGTTACGCAGCTGATTATACAACTTTTAATAAGCATTCTTGTTTGCGTCTTTTTAGTGAACTTTTATAAAACTTCAGTTGAAATGAACAAAAGTTCTGAGGCTTGGTGTAAAATCATAAAGCCTGTGAGACTGAAGCTGTGATTAACAGTCATTCAGCAGAAAGTAGCAAAGCGCATTTTCTTTATCATGAACAATAAAGCGAAAATTGGCTTTTAGAAAGTTTTCTTTTATAACTTTTTGCTTTATAATTTGCTGAACATTCAATGGTACAGCAAACTAGCACAAGTAACACTTATGAAAGTTAACTGTAATAACAGTGAGGCCATACTGACAGTTCTGTTCCCAGGCTCTGAGATGTGGAGAGGTGAAAACCCCCCCACATATTTAAAGCCACATTAAAGTAACACTGTCAAGTTGGATATCTTTGCCAGTGGTGCTGCTGTTTTAAGTGCTTAATATGATTAGTTGGGCTAATTCATATTTAGCTGATATGTGCATTTTTAGGCACCGGGGGGGGGGGACCTCCAAAATAAAGTGGATGTATTTAGGTATTATATTTCATAAATCAAATTCTATCAATGTGAGGATGTGGAAACAAACGCATCTAGATTTATCATCCCAGACTGCTTTTTTTCACAGCTCCTCAACCAATAAACTTGCATCTTACCCACATGCTTCTATCCAGGAAAGTAACAGTTTGTGACGTTGGTTTCATGGAGTATTTTCCAAATAGCTGAAAACTTTGGTCATGACCACAGGGCATGCGTTAAGGTGTCTAGTTTACATTCACAGAACCAGTAACTTGGTGTTTTCCTCTAACATACTTGATTGGCTATCATTAATACCAACAGAATCTCTAAATAACACGCTAAATAATAAGCTAACGTCAATATTTGTGATCAATACTAGAGTTCAGACTACATCATCTCTCCTTGCAAAAAACCCCTCAAAGCACAGTATCAAAAACCTTCTCTAGAGCTATAAACACCAAACAACCAAAGGAACAACCAAACACCTCTCAGCAATTCCAATAAATATCTGGAAGGGCAACTTGTACATTCTTATTCATCATCTGCTAATCTGAACTAAAAAAAGAAAAAAATCAACTGGAGTGACTATCATGAGATGCAAACCATGCAATCCTATTTAGGGAAAGCAGACAATAAATCAAGATATGTCTCTGCTATTAAATGTCTCATAATTCCTTTGTCTCGCCTTTGCAGGGAAACACAAGCACAGAAAGTTCCACTGCTTCACACGCACTTATCTCATGACCTTGTGAACGCAGTAAAGATATCTCCACTTTACAAAGCTAATTGGTCGACATGTCAGAGGATATTTAGCAGCTTAGTAAATCACATGTGTCCATTGATTTTTTCCCCCCTGTCTGCCGCCTTGATCAGACATTGTACTGCCTAATCCAGTCAACAACTCCATTGTTGCGAATCCTCAATGGGGTCTTGGGGAAAGGAGGAGGAGAGGAAGACAAAGCAAGTCAGCGAGATGGAGAAAGAGAAGAGGGATGTGATTAAGATGCACTTGGGATGGGCAAGAGGTAAATTACAAGGGTAGTGCAAAGGAGCAAGAATCAAACAAGAGTGTGGATACAATCAGAGAGAGCAGGAGAGACTGCATACAGGGTTTCAGTGCTTCACACCTCGCGTGCATAGACAGGAAGGCATATTCTTGTGCTGTCCTGTTGTGCTGATGCTGAACTGCTGTGCCAGCTGAAGCATCAGCACAAAGGGTTTGTGTTGTGGCATTTGCTGTCAGATTTAAGCTCGACTCCTTCCGGCTCTAATCAGAGAATATTCTCCGCTTTACATGTTGCAATGCTGCGCGGAGGCGCATGCACACGACAAATAAAGACACGGGCCATTAGTTTCTCTGGAAAGTGGCATGCACTCACCTTTTACGGTGACTATGTACACTTTTATTTTTGCACGGGTGCAATCTTTTTGATCTGCAAGTGACGTTGCTATGGAAACAATGTTTGTCCAGCTACACAAATACAGCCATACATATCTTTTGTAACCTTGGCTGACTTGCTGCATTTGTCAGTCTTCACACTCCAACCCACTCTGCATCGTGGTTCGCTTCAAAACGACGGAGTTGCATCAGCTTATCGAGGTGTGACCTGTTGGATACATCTTTTTAATAAAACAACACACATTTAAAGACCTCTGGCACAACAACTACCAGAGAAAATTGCGCCTAAAGCCCTGTCACCGCTACTTTCAGAGTACGGAGTCTGGTTTTACATGACGGGGCTTTCATCTTAAGATTAAAGCTCTTTCTTCGTTTCATCAAAATAGGAAGCATCCCTTAAGGAAACAGCAGTAAGTTGGAAAATAAATTCAGCATGCAAGAAAAGGGTTCTGATCTCTTCCGCATTGAAGAAACTAGTGCTCACCAAAGCTTCACCAAATCACATAATTTTAACGCAAACTAAAAAGATGAGTTTCAGTTTGGTGTTTGAGATGCTCAAACACCAAATTGAAAAAAGTAAGATCCAAATGCGCCATCCTTTAAGTGAATTCAAGGATAAAGGCTGGTACACTACAATGCCCTTCAGAAGTATTAATGTTTTTAAATGCCACAAATTGTACTGTCATTTAGTTTGTTAGACCAACAGAAGAATGGATGTGTCTCCTACATGTGTAGGAGACACATGTTTGTTGTGTATCCTATGTGGTAAAACAGCAAAAACTGTGCATCTAATTTTTATGGCTTTCTTTCAACTAAAGAACTAACTAATGTTCTCCAATAAACCACTAGCATTGTGACAGAAAAGCAGGGGTGTAATGAGTTAAAGATCACTTGTGTGTGACTTAATATGTTAATTTATTCTATTTGGGAGTATCAGACTAAAAGGAGCTAAATAAAATCGTACCCTTTTCGGAATTAAATTTTTTAAAACAATAAAAATCCCTTTAAATATTTATCCCACTTCACAATTATCTGTGTTGGTCTCTCAGATAAAATACCACAAAAAAGTACATACATTTTTTTGGCCGTAATGCAGCAGAATTGGAAAAGGGTTAGCTTAAGAGTAACTACCCAACAAAACAGTATAACATGTAATTCTTTGACATTTATTATGGCTCTTTAAACAAATGGGGGCATCAAAATCGCCAAGCAAAAATCATGAGCAAGGTAAGATAGAAGGTACGTCCCTGCGAATAGTTCCATCTCTCATAATCGAAAACGCATCGCCACTGTTACAACATCCGAAAACATCCAATTGTAAAACAGTGCTGAAGGAAAATTTTACCAACAGAAATCTTTAAAACTTATTTGACTAAACAGATCAATTCCTGTACAGCTCTTTGGTTTTCCCAGATAAACAAAAAAGTGGATTGCACTTCACAGAACTTGGACTGGGCTTCTTTGTGTTTCTTGTAAGTTGAATTGCTTCTACCAACTTTTGTCGCCACACTTTAGCCTGTCAAACAATTCATATCTGCAGTGAACTTCGCTATAACTCCCTCAGAGTGCTGATGCCTCTGCTAATCACGGTTTGGCTCATTGTTTACCTTCGGGCTGACCCGGCTGAACTTACCCAGATACCTGCTGGTGCAGTATTTCTGCATCTCCTCACACCAGCTCACTGCTTGGGAGCACAGCTCTCGCTAAGCAGGGTTTCGATATGCAGGAATGCTGCCGCTTTCAAGTGCCCAGCAGCATATCATCGCTGCTGTGTCTTCCTCTGCTCACCATGCTGTGTGTGAGAGCTCCAACAGGCTAAAGGCACAGCAGCAGGTTTTTTTTTTTTTCTTTTTAGCTAGGATATACTTGACTCCTGCATCATGTTCTTCTCAACTTGTTCAAAAATGTTAGACTTCATGGATTGCTGGGAAAAAAAAAAATCAAATCTTGGCACTTTTATAATGATGTGTTTTGTGCTAAGCAGAGCCCAACCTATACACAGAAAGAGGCACGAAATGCTCTGCACCGTGACCTACTTGCAAAAACATGGAAAATCACCCTGAACACACAAATCCCACAAGTAATATTACACAGCAAATGTTGTCTAAAGGCACTTCACAAATCAACCGGGTCCAATTTACATTCAGAAGTACAGAATCCAGATAGTTAGCTCCACTGAATGTTAACTCATGCTGAGCATGCATGTGGCGACAGTGAAAAGGAAAACTTTTCTTTAACTGGAGAAAACCTCCAGCAGAAACTGATTCCGTCCCAGGGAATCAGAAGACAAAATATACATACGCCAAGACAATACGGACACTGACGCTGCTGGTTTCTTTGTTGAAGAAAATAAAAAGTTAGCTACTTTAGTTGCTTCAACTTGGAGAGAATCTCAGGTGATAAGCCCTGAGCCAGATGAAGCTGGTCAGAGTAGTGGAGCTAAAAGCAGGATTTAGATCACTGTATATTCACATATCAGAATCCAGGCCAGTCAAAATCCAGGCCTACAGCGAATTGGAAACTTGTGGCAAGACTTTAAAAACATCTATTCATAGTCGTTGACAGTATTGAATCAAGAGCATCAAGCAAAACTACATTTCAGATTTTTACTTAGAAAAAGCTGAAAGCCACGATCCCTTTCCTCCCACATCACCATAATGTGTTACTTTGTGTTGCTTAACCAGATAAAGCCTCATTAAATACAATAAAGCTGTAGTTATGACATGACAAAAGGTGCACAAGTTGACAAGGCCTGATAAATGAAGGCTATAAGGAGTCTCTGTGTTACATTTCCAACTGTTGCTCACAGTAGTTATGATTGGAAACCCAGCAATAAGACAACAACATCAGTTTAAATAGTTGATACTGCAGAGGGTTTACAGATGTGATGCAGTACATAGGAACCATACAATTAGAGACGAGTATCTTTGCTTTCTTTTTGGTGTGACAACACTAAGCAACATTTAAATTGATGTAAATAAAAATGGCAGTGTTGCTTTGGTGATGGTTGAGAGAAAAATGCAACAATACACACAGTTCTAGTGTGTATCAAGGTTAAAGAGTGGCTGAGGAAATGTTGACCTGCCTAAAGTATAATTAAAGAATCTGGGAGTGTTTACATCGGTCGATCTGCAACACAGATGAACTCTTTCGATGATCGTCATGAATTCACGATGCAAAACTTTACCTTCTGTCAGAGTAAACTGTTTTTGA